AAAAAAAAAAAAAAAAAAAAGTCACAGACTGAGAAAAGATAGCTGTAAGCTAAAATTCAAATACTGAATTAGCATCTAGATTTTTAAAAGTAATTACTTCAAATGAATCATTAAAAAGACTAACAATCCAATAGGAAAATGTGCAAAAATATGAACTGGCAAACCACAGCAGGAAAAGCTGCAGATGACCACATACAAATGAAAAGACACTCGACCTCAGGAATCAGGGAAATGCAAATTAAAATAAGATAGAATTTCATGCCTATTAGATTAAAAACATTTTATATCTCAACCAAGGGTTGGCAAGGTTGTAGAAATGGGACAAATTCCATGGGGCAACTCTTGGGGAAGCAATTTGGCAACATCTAACAAAGGTGACGACACATGTACCTTTCAACCTGACAGTTAAATTCTGCTTCTGGATATATAAGCCCTAAGGAATCTATAGTACATGTGCACAGGATTTAACAGTGTTCCTACAGCACTACTTATAATAATAATAAACTGGAGCACCAATGCCCACTGACAGGAGAATGGATCACCGTAGTGTTTTCACAGTAAATTATTATACAGCAGTGAAAACAAATGAACTACAGTTACATGCAACATAGATAGATCTTTAAAATAATCTTGGGAGAAAAAAAAGCAAATTCCAGGAGACACATACTGGCATCATTCCCCTTTTACAAAACTCAAAAAACAACTACAACTAAATGATACATTGCTTAAGAATGCACACAATGGGCCAGGCACAGTGGCTCCACACCTGTAATCCCAGCGCTTTGGGAAGTCGAGGTGGGAAGATCGCTTGAGGCCAGGAGTTTGAGACCAACCTGGCCAATGTGGTGAAACCCTGTCTCTACTAAAAACACAAAAATGAGCCAGATGTGGTGGTGTGTGCCTGTAGTTCCAGATACTTGGGAGGCTGAGGCATGAGAATTGCTTGAACCTGGGAGGCAGAGGTTGCAGTGAGCCGAGACCACACCATTCCACTCCAGCCTGGGCAACAGGGCAAGACTCTTGTCAAAGGAAAGAAAGAAGGAAAGAGGAAGGAAGGAAGGAAGGAAGGAGGGAGGGAGGGAGGGAGGGAGGGAGGAAGGAAGGAAGGAAAGAAAAAAGAATGCACACAAGCTGGATGCAGGGGAGTGGTGGACGCCTGTAGTCCCAGCTACTCCAAAGGCCAAGGAAAAGAGGATGGCTTGAACCCAGGAGTTCAAGGCTGCAGTGAGCTATGACTGTATCACTGTACTCCAGCCTGGGCAGCAGAATGAGACCCTGTCTCTTAAAAATAAACAAACAAAATAAGCAAGCAAACATAAATATATAAAAGCGAGTGCTATAGGAATCAAAGGTGAGCACATTAATAATTTATCCAACTCTTGCACCTGAAGTCCACTGGGAACAATAAAATAAAAATAAAGAAAAAAGAAAATGAAGCTTAGGCAGGTTAAATAACTTGCTTAAGATTAGAGGCAGAGTTCAGATTTGAATCCAACCATATGACTCTGAAACCCAGGTTGTTTACCATTCTGCCATACGGCCTCTTTTCAAAGGGCATCTTAAGACCTCTTTGCTCAATCTAATGATCCTCCCTTCTTATTGAAATTTTATTCCTGAGGCTTTCATGAACCCATACTTCTCCGATTACCCTTGTACTTAATTATTCCTTCTTTTTACCTTTATGGGTCCTTCTCCTCCATTCATTTAAATATTGATTTATGTGTCCAGGGTTCTATCTTCATCAAACTAGTTAGGAAACTTCCCTCTTGGGAGGAAGCAAAGCTAAAGAGGAATATGAGATACACATACCATCCCTTTCTTTTATAAAAAAACAAAACAAAACAAACAAAACAAAACAAAAAAAAACACAGAAGGGCACAGTGTAATCGTCAACGAATTTCAACCAATAGTGATTTTTGCTCAAGATCACATTGGAGCTGCTTATCACAATCTTCAAAGCGGCATTAACATCGCTGACTAAGGCAATTTTAAACCAATAATTAAATAGAAATTGTTTCATAAACACAGTGCTCTTATTTTGTCACCGTAACTTCTTGATTAAGCACTGTTTCAACACGAATATTCGATTCATTTAACACATTTTAAATAACTATCACATAGTGAAAGCGTTACTGAGCAGAAAGCAGCATATCAGTTATCTTTTAAGAGTTCAGCTGTACCAGTTACAAATATCAAAAGCTACTAATGAGCCATTGTATCCAAGCCAATCTGTTAAATAAAATGGAAAAAATACACTTGCATAATTCAAATGGCCTTCTCATTCCATGTCTTAGAATGTCCGCAGAACTTTTACTGAAGCAAGGCATTATGCAGGCTGTACAATTATACTGCTGTGTTAGTGAACACATTTTAATCTGCACAAGACAAGAAAATACAAGTATTTCCTAGCTACTGTTTCATACTGATCATGAAAGCTCATATAAGCCATAAAAAATGTTACTTTAATTTGTACTTAAAAAATGTAAGTATAGGCCTGATGCAGTGGCTCATGCCTATAATCTCAGCACTTTGGGAGGCCAGGCAGGCGGATCACCTGAGGTTGGGAGTTCAAGACCAGCCTGACCAACATGGAGAAACCCTGTCTCTACTAAAAATACAAAATTAGCCAGGCACATGCCTATAATCCCAGCTACTCGGGAGGCTAAGGCAGGAGAATCGCTTGAATCCAGGAGGCGGAGGTTGCGGGGAGTTGAGATCATGCCATTGCACTCCAGCCTGGGCAATGAGAGTGAAACTCCATCTCAAAATAAAATAAAATAAAATAAAAGTAAGTATAAACTACTTTTGCTTCTCTAGAAGTCTATTCATAATTTTAAATTTGTTATAAATTTTCTAGTATGCTACTTTTCTTTCTGCAATACAAATTTATATTTCTTATACTTTATAAAATAATTTTTAAAAACCATAATGAATCAGGTACAATATTTAAAGCTTTTATGTTTTTTTTTTGAACCAAGACATTTTAAAACACACATGCCCACCCACCCCAAGTATTCCATACACAGACATCTCCACGTGGCTTGCTTTCTCAGGAAGTTAGTCAAAACCCTACAGCTGCATGTGTACAAGTGGATAAGAGAGGAAAATAGAAGTCGCAGATGCTGAAATTGTAGCATACGGCATTAACTTTTTTAAATCTTGTTTTTTGTTTTGCTACCAAATTACTCATCACATTGAGCATTTTTAAATACCCCTAAAGTAAAATAGTTCAACCTCTTGTGAACTGAAGGCAGGCTGTTTTGTGTCCCAGGAAATAAACAAGGCACTCCTCTCCAGTCTATTTCCCTTCACCTAACTGTTATGTCCTAGTAGGGTTTACTCTCTCACCAAATATTTACTGAATGTGCCAGGAACTGGGGCTACATATGAATAAATCTGAGGCCCAGGTCTCAAGGAGTTTACAGTCTAAAAGGGAAGACAGACGTATAAACACATACACACACAGGCCCATAATCCATTACCCTAAACCCTAGGGCCAGATATATTTCAGAATTTGGAAGTTCCCAGGTTTTAGAAAGGGATGTTCATTGTATTGGCATAACACCACAACCAGACCCCAGAGCAGCACCCACAGGGTCAAGAATTAACATTTCTGCAGCAAAATGTAAAGCATGCTCATACGAGGTAGGAAAAAAACAGACTAAGAACCTATAACCCCAGCACTTTGGGAGGCCAAGGTGGGCAGATCACTTGAGGCCAGGAGTTCAAGACCAGCCTAGCCAACATGGTAAAACCTCGTCTCTACTAAAAATACAAAAATCAGCAGGGCATGGTGGCGTGAGTCTGCAGTCCCAGCTACTTGGGAAGCTGAGGCATAAGAATCGCTTGAACCTGGGAGGCGGAGGTTGAAGTAAGCGGAAGATTGCACCACTGCACTCCTGATTGGCAACAGAGCAAGTTTATCTCCAAAAAGCAAAAACAGACTAAGCGATAGCTTCACGTTATTACAGTTCAGGTCACACTGTGCCACCAAATGAGTTTAGGTCATATAAGGTTTTGCCACTAAATGATTTATGAAAAGGAAAAAAAAAAAAAAACCTGTAGTTTTCAAGAGTATTTGGTGTTTCTAAATAGTTGAGACTGACCTGTAATACATATGAGGAGGATCACCTGGCACAAAGGCAGGATAGGCCAGGCACAGTGGCTCATGCCCATAATCCCAGCACTTTGGGAGGCTGAGGTGGGCAGATCACTTGAGGCCAGGAGTTCAAGACCAGCCCGGCTACATGGCAGGTATCCATCTCTACAAAAAAAATTTTTTTAATCACCCAGGTGTGGTGGTGTTTGCCTGCAATCCCAGTGCTTTGGGAGGTCGAGGCGGGACGATCATTCGAGCCCTAGAGGTCAAGGCTGCAGTGAGCTACGATTGTGCCACTGTACTCTAGCTTGGGCGACAGTGAGACCCCATCGCAAAAAAAAAAAAAGAAAAGGCAGGATTACCCCTGAACTTCAAAAGTACTAACTAGGAGTTAGCCAACCAAGAGATAACATTTATTGAGCATTTATTACGTGTATGTATACAACTCTGTGCAGTAACTCTTTATTTAGTTCTCAAAACAACCTCAGAAGGTAGGTACCAGTATCATTCTCATTCCACAGATAAGGAAACTTTACACATGGAGGTTATGGACCTTAACCAAGTTCACACAACCTAAAGGAGCCAGAGATGACTACTTACAGTGTGACCCCAGAAATTCTTTACTCTAAGCCTCAATTCCTTCATCTGCGCAGTGGGGATCTCTACCCCACGGGATTGTTTTGGGAATTAAATAATACACATTTTTTAATGTCTTTGGAAATTTAAGTCAATTTGGCCCAGCAAGGGAAATACATGAAGAAGCTATAACCATGAACACTACTCAGGCTACTATCTACAGTGATTAATCGACGGATCTAATACTATAGTGCTCTAAACAAAAATGGAAAAAGAAATAACCAGAAGGAAGTCCTTTCCTGGTCTTCGCACCTCAGTTATGTTGTAATTTAACTACTTCTTCCTCTACTGAACTCCTTAAGAAGCACTGGGGCAACTGTTGGTAAAGGCTGTGTTTTATTTTCTGGGAGAGGACTAAAACAATCCATGAGCGCTGTTTCATTTGCACCAGGACTCTCGTACTGAGGGGTAGAGGAGAGTGGTTTCAAAGGGGGAGAGGGAATAGGAAGAAAACAACTAATCATTTGAAGGGCTTTCTCAAACTACATCCACATCCTGGAAGATTTAAATACTTGCCCCACCGCATCAGCAGCACCTGCCACTGTGGCCCATACCCACCCTAAGGCCTTGACTCTTCAAGTGTGTAAGGGCGAAACCAGGGTTGATAACCACTAATTGAACCAAACAGTTTCAATCTATGGTTCTCACAGTGTGGGGACCAGCAGCATCAGCATCACGTAGAAACTTGTTAGAAATGCAAATTCATAAATCCCTTCCCAGGACTACAGACTCAGAAACCCTGAGGGTAGAGCCCAGCAATCTGTGTTTTAGTAAGTCTTCACGGTGAGTCTGAAGCTCTCTAGAGTTTGAGATCCACTGGTCTAAGCTCTTATTTACACAAGCAGTTTAAGATCGTGTGATTGGAGGAAAGTTCAAGAATGTGTGTTCATGCATTAATCACTTCCTAAAAATCACTAAACTGGCACTTGTAATCTTCCTAATCAGATAAAACATCTAAATACTTAAACATAAAGACATCTGTGAAAGGAAAATAAATCTTGGAGCCCCAGACTTACTAAGCCTAAAGGAAAAGTCAAGCTGGGTCATGCAAACCTGCCTCCCATTTTGGTTCCTAAATAAGATGGCTATAAAGATGAAAAGCTACATACCTTCCTCACACTTTGCCCACAAGGAAATCCTTATGGGCCCCAAGATCTCTACCCTAAAGCAGTTCCGCTGAAGCTCACCATGGCAATGTCAATTGATAGCTTATCTTCACAGGTGTGGGACACAGGACAGGACTCAAAATCATCCCTCCGCTCACCTCAGACAAATGTATATCTGATTGCTTCCTCTGCCCTATTTGTCTATGTTGTCTTATGTAAAAATACAGATTCACTGATCCAGACAAAGGCATGAGTGACTGTTTTCCCCTACCCAATTTTCACATGAAAATTGTGTATTTCCCAATATCCTGCCCTTTCCCCTTTAAATATTGAAGCCCTCAAAATCATCTTCAGAGAAAGGCATAGACCTGTATCCCAGGCACGCATCCTTAACTTTGGCAAATAAACCTAAAATGACTGAGACTTGCCTCGGTCATTTTCTTTAATTTACACAATAAAGGGAATACAGACTTAACAAAAAAAATTCATTTTAAAATAAAGCAAAATAATTCCCCATATCTGAATTGTGTCTATGTTGTCTTATGTAAAAATACAGATTTGCTGATCTAAACAAAGGCATGAATGATATTTTCCCCTACCCACTTCCCACATGAAAATTGTGTATTTCCCAACATGCTGCCCTTTCTCCTTTAAATACTGAAGCCCTCAAAATCATCTTCAAAGATAGGCATAGACCTGTCTCCCAGGCACACATCCTTAACTTTGGCAAATAAACCTCACAAAATGATTGAGACTTGTCTCAGTTTTTTTCTTTGATGTATACATTAAAAGGAATATAGATTTTAAAAAAATTATTCTCGTTCTTAGTTCATTTTAAAACAAAGCAACATAATTTCCCTCATCTGAATTGTGATAAGATTTTGAATTTTTTTCTGAAGAATGGCTTCAGAAAAGGAAAAGAAGTTCCTATATAAACTGCAATTTTTGCAACGCTCCCAACTTAAAACACTTGTACACAGAAATCATTAACAATTAATTCCTTGACCTATTTCAGGTATTATCTTCTCTTTCCTTGATGGAAACAATGCATCAAACAGAACTGTGATTTTTCAGGGAGCAGCTATACCTCCTTTGGTCTTACTTTAAAGAACCATAAGAATAAAATAAATACCAAGGTCGGGAAGGACAGGCTTAGTTAGGAACCAAGCTGTCTTCTTTTATCTTGAAATATTCATGCCACCTAAAAAAAGAGACACTTGAGCCATTTTTTAAAAAATTAAGGCTTAAAAGAATTAATCTTTGTTAAAGTAGCAAAGTACATGAGAAAATACTCACCAAGAAAAGTGTTTCATGTATTTTGGGAATTAAAAAGGGACTTAGATTCTGAAATGCCAGCTGACTTTTACATGTTTCATTATTTTTGAAAGAACTTGTGATTACGTTTTCTGAACAAGCACGATGTGATCAGTTGGTACAGGCGCAAACTGACCAAGAAGAAAAACAAGTTCTTTCTCCATGTATCACAAATGGGTCCATTTGGGGTTAATAATTAGGGCTTATGACATTGAACAGGATATGTCATCAATGCTGAATCTTAACAGGGATGGTAAATTCCATTACCCAGTAAAATTTCATGCATAAAAATAAAAAATGAATAGGAATTTATGGAATTAAAACCTAATGCAGAGTACATGTCTTAAGTATAGTGTTGATATGTTTCTATTCTTTCAGTGTATTTTATAAAAATTCCTATATCTAGATCTGTAGATATCTAGAGCTATAGATCTAGATATGTATCTATAGAGAGGGAGGGAGAGAGCAATAGCAGTTTTAAATGAATACGTTTAAACTCTTCCAGTCAACACTGTGGGAAAGTTTTCAAAAGGATTTTCTTCTGCATTGTTCCTATTATTTTCACCTATACTCCTAAAAGTACGTAAGAAATGAGTATTATTCTGACCAACTGTCAATCTAAATCATCATGTGATTCATTCTTCCACTCAACAAACATGTATTAAACACCTACCCTGTGCTAGGCATAGAAACCCACCCCATCAGAAACATTCATCCATTGGAAAAACAGGTAAGTAACAATACAGCCATGCATCACTTAACGATGGGAATATGCTCTGAGAAACACATCCTTAGGCAATGTCATCACTGTGCAAACATCAAAGGGTGTCCTTACACAAACCTAGATGGTATTGCCTACTATACACCTAGGCTCTATAGCATATAGCCTATTGCTCCTGGGTTACTAACCTGTACTGCATACTCAATACTGCAGGTAATTTTAGCACCATGGTAAATATTTGTGTATCTAAACATATCTAAACATAGAAAGAACAGTAAAAACATGGTATAGCAGGCATGGTGGCTCATGCCTGTAATTCCAGCACTTTGGGAGGCCAAGGCAGGTGGACCACCTGAGGTCAGGAGTTTGAGACCAGCCTGGCCAACATGGTGAAACCCTGTCTCTACTAAAAATACAAAAGCAAACACACAAACAAACAAAAATTAGCCAGGCTTGGTGGCCGGCACCTGTAATCCCAGCTACTTGGGAGGCTGAGGCAGGAGAATAGTTTGAACCCAGGAGGCGGAGGTTGCAGTGAGCCGAAATCGCACTATTGCACTCCAGCCTGAGTGATAGAGACTCCGTCTCAGAAAAAAAAAAAAAAAAAAAGATATTATTATCTTATGGGACCATCACCCTATATACAGTCCACTCAATGACTGAAACATCCTTTTTTTTTCTTGAGATGGAGTTTCACTGTTGTTGCCCAGGCTGGAGTGCAGTGGCACATGATCTCAGCTCACTGCAAACTCCGCCTCCTGGGTTCAAGCGATTCTCCTGCCTCAGCCTCCCGAGTAGCTGAGATTACAGGTGCCCACCACCAAGCCTGGCTAATTTTTGTATTTTAGTAAAGATGGAGTTTCACCATGTTGTTCAGGCTGGTTTCGAACTCCTGACCTGGTTTCGATCCACCTGCCTCGGCCTCCCAAAGCGCTGGGATTACAGGCGTGAGCCACTGCGCCCAGCTGACTGAAACATCATTATGGGGCTCATCACTATAATCATATTAGAGCGTAAGTGCTATGACAGAACTTGTATTTAAAGTGTCACATCATTGAAACCATATGTTTATGAGAACGTGGCTGAACTCAACATACTAAGGATTTCTCTTAAATTTTACACAATACGTTTTGAAACTATTGTCCATGAATTCACTGAACCCATTTTTAGTATGCTTATATTTTCTCCTGTACTACTTCTTAAAGTAACAAGTTCTATAAATTTACCATCAGCTCTGTAAAATAGCAGGGCATTTCCTTTTACTTAGTCCTAAAACTACCTTCTCTAAGAGGAGCCTCTTGGTTTTAGTACTCTAAGATTTTGTGAACTAAATATTAAACACATAAATTATGATTATGTAAATTTTAAATCATACACTTAGCCTGTCTTT